CGGTCCCCGCTGCCCCCTGGCCGGGGGAGAGCCCCGGCCTCGGCGCAGGCTCCGGCCACCCCACCCCACCCCCCGGAGACCGGGGACCCCGCGCATCTTCGCCGTGTCGGCCAGGGGCGCCAGACCACCGTCGCACACCCGGGACCCGCGCACACGAACACGCGCAGGTGCACAGGCGCGCCCCGGCGGCCGTGGACGGCCCCTCTGAGCCCACAGTGAACCTTAAGAAAATCCAAAAGCAGGACCACGTCGTTAGCATCAGTGGAGATTTTCCGCAAGGTGGTGATGCCGTGTCTTCCCAGGCTCTCTGGAAAGAGACAAGGAAAAGGGAATTTTAAGTATTTTAAATCATCAAGAGGAAAAAGAATAAGTGAGCACATTTCATGTGTGCCCTCTAAGGTTGGTCCAAAGTCCCGAACGAGTCCTCCATCCCGATTTTGGCCTTCTATTTTGGGAGCTCAATATCCTGGAAAGTTTTTTTTGGCAAATGATGAAAAACTAAGTATTTATCAAATATTGGAAACATTGCTCTACTTTTTTTTGTTGCTGAGAGAATAATATGGCCATTAATACAGAAAGCACACAAAAAAACTTTTCAGAATTTTGGTTCATTCTGTTTGTTGTTGCTTTACTACAAACCAATATTAAAAATTTTCTCAGAGTGCAATTTGCTATATACTGAGAATTACCTAGCCAGGAAAATGAGTAGTGGTATTTTTTATGCTATTCACACTGACAAATTAAACAAAAATAAACCATTGTATAGAAATAGTTTTCTTTTGATGTCTTTAAATTTATTTTAAAAGTTCAGGGGCTGGCCTGGTGGCATAGTAGTTGAGTTGGGGCGCTCTGCTTCAGTGGCACGGGCTGGACGGGGTCAGATCCTGGTCGTGGACCTACAACCGCTCATCAAGCTATGCTGTGGCGGGTCCCATATACAAAGTAGAGGAAGATGGGCACGGATGCTAGCTCAGAGACAGTCTTCCTCAATCAAAAAGAGAAATATTGGCAACAGATGTGAGCTCAGGGCCAATCTTCCTCACCATAAAAAAAAAAAAGCTCAAAGGAGAAAAATGGAAAGCCAAAGTAAACATCAAGTTTCCATGAAGATTTTGTGAAACACTCCTCCAAAAATCTCTCCATGCACCTGTATGTTTCAAGATAGTCTTTTATTTTTAATTATTTGTTTATTTAAATGTTATTCAGTCTTTTAAAATATTTTTTCAGATGTCCAAAAACACATTAAATGCCACTGATATCTAAGACCAAAAAAAACTATTCCAAATTAGTCATAGTGCATGCCAGTGATTAACATTCGTTATGTTTGAGTGCTCATTTCTTCAGGCAAACCTTGAGAACTACTAAAATATTGGCAAAATGATGAAATGAGGTAATACACATAAATGTACTTTGTGAAATGTGGGCTGAAAGGTAAGGCATGAATGTCCTTGTTCACTCTCGGGGCGTGCCGAATGCTTAGCCCTGTAGCATCCGTGTTTCAGGGTATTCAGTGAGTCTTGGTTGAGGGTCTACCATCCATGCATAACTGAAGTAATTGCTTTAGAGAAGACAAATACTCAACCAGTGCCTTTGGCTGCCTTCCACGAGTTTACTGTGTGGTTAGGGAAGCAAAAAGATGTAAATATTTAAAGTCATCTTGCACTTCATTCAATTAATTCAACAAATGTGTCTTGAGCAAGTATTATGTACCTGGAACTGAGGATACAGCAATGAACAATACTGATGAGGTCCCTGCCTTCACGGACCTTACATTCTAGTGGGTAAGGCAAGCATATCAGGTCAGACAGTGGTTAAGTGCCATGAAGAAAAAGAAAGCCAGCTAAAGGGATAGTGACAGTGTGCTATTTTTAGATGGGCTAAACCAGAAAGGCTGCTCTGAGGAAGTGTTATTTGAGCAGGGACTTAAGTGAGGCAGTGGGCCATGACCATCTAGGGAATGATCCGTCAGGCAGAGGCAATAGCAAGTGCAAAGGCCCTGAGGCAGGAATATACTTTGTGTGCAAGATGATAAGGCAATGTAACTGAGTGTTGAATGTGTACCATGGTGTAGATTTCCTCAAAAATCATCCAGTCTAAAGTAAAACAGTAGGGGATTTTACATACACCAAATGTATTCACTTTCCCCAAAAAATCTGCAGTGTTTTGTCTCAAAGTAATCTATTACTGCATCCAAAAAGATAGACTATGCTAATTTCAATAATAAATTTTGATTACCCAACCTTTTCATTTTGCTATTTAGAACAAAAGAATAGACATTTATTACAGTCTTCAAAACCATCTGCATTAAATTGATGAGCCAAAAAACACAGCTATCACAAACCCAGACATTTTCCTTCATAATCTAATGTCCTCTTCATTCTCAGTATTCTTGTTCTTAGGGAGGAAAATGTTGAGTTGATGGTCTCAACTTGAAAGATTTACTTAACCCCAAGATTCTGTGGAGAAAAAATTGAGTAGAGAAATGAGAAGAAAGCAAGTTACCAAGAATCAGGCAAATTTAAATGTGATTTCAATGATTTATTAACTTGAATAAAACAGAAGAAGAATTGCACATATGTACTACTACATGGTATTATTAATAATTGTCATTATAACTAAATCTTAGGCAGTATGATTATATTATTCCACTCCAGAGTTAACAAGAACCGTGGATAATAGTCATAGAGTTATTAGTATCTTCAGTATTTAGGTTATGAAGCATTTGCTCCAGATATTAATAATCTTGGGCTTAGGCCCCACTTACAAATTTTCCCTTTTTTGCACAAAATATACATCATTGTACCATGTTTTTTTCTCCTACATGAATAAGAGAGGGTTCCAAGGAGAGGAATCTTTTTTCAATGAGACTTTAAAGTAATAGGCAATGTGGAAACCGGTGTCTTGTTCTGGACAGTCAAAATTTCTTCCATTCCTGTTTTAGAAACAAAATTGCTCAAATTGTGTGCCATTCTGGGATCTTCGGAGTGAGTGTGTGTGTATGTGTGTGTAAGAGCTTTATCGTATACTTTATGTACTATAAAAGTTACCCATTTTGAGTGTACAGTTTAATGATTTTTTTAGTAAATTTTTGCAGAGTTATGCAACCATTGCCACAATCCAATTTTGGAATATTTCCAACCCCAAAAAGATCACTAGGGCCCGTTTGCAGTCAATCCCCTTTCCCAACCACAGCCCCAGGCGATTTGTAATCCACTTTCTATCTCTATAGATTTGCCTTTTCTGGATAATCTCTGTTTTGAGTGAGGTTTCTGTGGAATTCTCCATGGAGGCTGCTAAAGCCCCCACAGAGAATTGCTTGCCTAGCCTAATGACAATAAGAAACAAAAGCACCGCCACCATGGGTGCGTTTTCTCATGACTTTTGACCAATCTGTAGAAAGGCCAGACATTTTTCAGATCCAAGTGTCCACAAAGCTAGTAAGGCAGCTCCTTCTACCATGTTTCCTGTTGTAAGGGAAGTAGCACCCTGGACGTGAGCACGTAACGCAGGAGGTGGTCCCCGGGCAGCCACTCTCTGGAGAGGAAGCCCAGAAACTCGGCTAAGATCCAACCCCCAAACAACTCTGCCTTTTACCATTTCTTTGTAACTCATCACTGTGCCCAAGCAGAGAAATTTGATTTCTAAAGGTCAAAGGCTCACTCCAGAATATTCTCTTGCTAGACCCTGCATAACTTGAAATGCAGTCCAGACCTTTTCCTCAGAAAAGAGTTATTTGGAATGATGGTTAATTTTATGTATCAACTTGACTGGCCATGGGGTGCCCAGGTTAAACGTTATTTTTGGGCATTTGAATCAGTGGACTCAGTAAAGTAGATTGCCCTCCCCAAGGTGGGTGGGTCTTATCCTATCAGCTGAGGGCCTGAATAGAACAAAAGGCAGAGGAGGGAGGAAGTCACCCCTTTTTTCCTGCCTAGCTGATTGAGCTGGGACATCTCATCTCGTCTTCTCCAGCCCTCAAACTGGGCTGGCATCCCAGGTTCTCAGGCCTTCAGATTCAGACTGAACTACACCACTGGTTTTACTGGGTCTCCAGCTTGCAGACAGCAGATCTTGGGACTTTTCAGCCTCCATAATTGTGTGAGCCAATTCCTCATAATAATCCCCATGTAAGTCTCTATCTATGGATATATATTATACGTACAGTGAATCCCAATAAATCATACATATATATGTATACTCCTGGTTCTGTTTCTCTGGAGAACCCTGACTAATACAGAAAATTGGTACTGAGAAGTGGGGATGCTGCTGTAACCCCCACTAAAAATGCAGAGGTGGGGCCGGCCCCCTGGTTTAGCGGTTTAAGTGCGTGCGCTCCGCTGCTGGCGACCCGGGTTCGGATCCTGGGCGCGCGCCGACGCGCCGCTTCTCTGGCCATGCTGAGGCCACGTCCCATATGCAGCAACTGGAAGGATGTGCAGCTATGACACGCAACTATCTGCTGGGGCTTTGGGGGGAAAATAAATAAATAAAATCTTAAAAAAAAATTTTAAAAAAAATACAGAAGTGGCTTTGGAATTGGGTAATGGGTAGAGAATGGAGGAGTTTGGGGGTGCATGCTAGAAAAGGCCTACTCTGCCATGAACAGACCTTTAAATGTAAATTGTTCTGTCTGAAAGCTCAGACAGAACAGAGAACTGCAGAGAAAGCCTCAGTCTTCTGTACGAATACCCGAAGTAGTCATGAACGGTATGTTGGTAGAAATGTGAATTCCGATGAGGTCTCAGATGGAAATGAGGAGCGTGTTGTTGGAAACTGGAGGAAAGGCGATCCTTGTTATATAAAGTGGCAAAGAACTTGGCTGAATTGCGTTCGCATTCTAATGTTTTGAGGAAGGTAGAACTTGCAAGCAATGAAATTGGATATTTAACTGAAGCAATTTCTAAAAAAAGTGTTGAAGGTGTGGCTTGGCTCCTCCTGGCTGCTTATAGTAGAATTTGAGAAGAGAGAAATGACTTAAAGACAGAATGTTAGGCAAAAAGAAGTAGAACTTAATGATTTGGAAAACTCTCAGCCTATCCATATTGCAAAAAACGAGAACACTAAGGATATGGCCAAGTGACCATTGGATCATTGGGAATTGAGTATGGGTGTGATCACGCCATCACCGCGGAAGGAAAACTGCTAGTTTGAACTGAAGGAGAAGGAGGTGGGCAGGAAGGCTGTCCGACTTTGTGGATTTCACAGGATGGAACCATGGAGCTATTTGGCTGAGACCATGCACTGTTCTTCAAGACAAGGGTAGTATAACCTCCAGGGCGATTCAGAGGTCGTCAGGGCTGCCTCCTTGGTTTCAAAAGAGGGGACCATTGCCTTTCTTCCAACAAGCCACACAGCCTCCACCCAGAGCTGTGGGGATGGGGCTTCCTGGTAGAGCTGCTGACTGCTGCCTAGTAGAGCTGCGGTGGCGGTACCTCCATCCCAGCGGAGGTGGGACCGCTGCCCCAGTGGGTCAGGAAGGTGGGATTTCTGCCCCAGTGGGCCTGGAGGGCAGAGCGTGGAGCCAAAGAGGATTATTCTGGAGCCTTAAGATCTCATGGAGTTGGCCTTGCTAGGTTTTGGATTTGCTTGAGCGCCGTCACCCCTGCTGTCTTCCCTGTTTCTTTCTTGTAGAATGGGAGTGTCTGTCCCATGCTTGTCCACCACTGTGTTTTGGAAGCACAGAACTTGTTGGTTTCACAGGTTCACAGCTGGAGAGGAATTAACCTCAGGATGAATCATACTCATGTCCCACCCACGCCTGCTTTAGGTGATGTTTAGATGAGACTTTGGACTTCAGACTTTAGTGTTGGTGCTGGAAGGAGTTAAGGCTTTTGGGATTTGGAGAATGCAATGAACGTATTTTGCATGTGAGGAGGACATGAATCGGGGGGCCCGGGGCAGAATGTTATGGATTGAATGTTTGTGTCTTCCCTAAATTTGTATGTTGAAACTCTGCTCCCAAATATGATGGTATAGGAGGTGGAGCCTTTGGGAGGTGATTAGAATTAGATGAGGTCGTGAGAGTGGAGTACTTATGAATGGGACTGGTGCCCTTGTAAGAGTCATGAGAGAACTCGCTTCCCCTCTCTGCCCGCCACCACGTGAGGGTACAATGAAAAGTCAGCAGGGGGCCGGCCCTGTGGTGTAGTGGTTAAGTGCGCACGCTCCGCTGCTGGCGGCCCAGGTTCGGACCCCGGGTGCGCACCGATGCACCGCTTGTCAGGCCATGCTGTGGCGGCATCCCATGTAAAGTGGAGGAAGATGGGTTGTCAGGCCATGCTGTGGTGGCATCCCATATAAAGTGGAGGAAGATGGGCACAGATGTTAGCCCAGGGCCAGTCTTCCTCAGGAAAAAAAAAAAAAAGAGGAGGATTGGCATCGGATGTTAGCTCAGGGCTGATCTTCCTCACAAAAAAAGAAAAGAAAAGTTGGCAGTCTGCAACTTGGAAGAGGGTCTTCACCAGAACTCCATCATGCTGGCACCCTGATCTTGGACTTCTAGCCTCCAGAACTGTGAGAAATAAACGTCTGTTGTTTGTAAGCCCCCCAGTCTATGGCGTTCTGTCATAGCAGCCTGAACCAAGACACTTGGTCATGAAAGAACTTTCTGAAGCCCCTGTGGAGAAGCCGATTTTACTGTTGTTCTTGTTCTACTTTGAGAGTTAGCTTCTGCTTTATGTCTATCAGATGAGTATGATCTTCCCCGCAACAAAACTGTTCTTCCTACACTCAGAGCACCCCAGACCCTCCCTCTGTGACCTCCAGAACATGTCTCAAGCCATTCACTTCCCTCTCCTCCCGCCCTCTCCGCTGAGCCGTGGCTGCCACCACTTCCTGCCTGGGCTAAGGCTGCCACAATTCCTTCCCAAGCATTGGTCTCAGATGTCCCCACTTTCACCCCCTCAATCCAACATCTCACAGCACCCAGAGTGAACTTTTAAAAATACACATTTGACTATATCATTCCCCTTAAAGTGTATAATAATATCAAACTCTAGATTTTTTTCTGCCAAAACCCGTGTCTCTCACTGTCTTCCACATCTCAGTAAATGGTGACTTTGTTCTTCAAGTGGCTCAGGCCAAAAGCCTTGCTGTCACCCTTCACATTTCTCTGTCCTTCGCACTGCACATCCACTACACCATCAAAGCTGCAGGCTTCACCATCCGACTATGGCCGCCTACTTTCCAGGAAACACAACAGCATCACGTCGGTCCACACCACCATCGTTTCTTGGTGAGATTATTAAACAGCCTACATGCTGGTCCTTCTGCTTCCACCCACACCTCCCTTCAGTCTGTTCTCATCCCAGGAACAATGTGATCCTTCGCAAAGGTAAGCCAAACAGTGTTTCTGCTCTGCCCCAAATTTTCCAGTGGCTGTGAATCTCTCTCAGAGACCTGTACATCCACAAGGACCTACGTGATCTGACCCCATCTCCTCTCTGGCCTTGTGTCCTGCTACCTGAGGAATGTGCTCCAGCCACACAGGTCCTCCTACTGTTACGGGACTCTCCAGCCTGCTCACGGGGCAGGGCCTGTGCACGTGCTGTCTTAGGCTGGAGCTCTCTTCTCTCAGCTATCTGTGTGGCGCCCTCACGTCCTCAGGTCTCTGCTCCAGGGTTGCTGCCCCAGAGAGACCTGGGCTGACTGCCCTCTTCTGCAACAACACCCCTTCACTTCTGTTCCATTGAGCCAGCTTTATTGTTCTGCGTTACCACTTATTTGCAGCAGCGAGATGTATTTGTCTATTCCTTTGTTGTCTGTCTTCCCCACTATGATGTAAGCTGCATGGCAGCAGGGGCTTGGCTAGTGAGGCAGACGGACTCTAAGATGGCCCCCCATGATCCTTGCTCCCTGGTTTTTGTTTATGTCTTTGTGTAATTCCCTCTCCTTTGCTGTGGGTGAGACCTGTGACTTGTTTCTAACCAATAGAATATGGCGAAGTGATGGGATGTCATTCCCATGATTATGTTACATAATGTAAGACTCCATCCTGCTGGCAGACTCACTTTAACTCTCCTGCTGGCCTTGAAGAAGCAAGTGGCCATTTGTGACTGCCTGAGGGCAGCCTCTGGGAACTGAGGGCCTCTGACCAATAGCCACTAAAAAACTGAAGCTCTCAGTCCTATCACCACAAGGAAGTGAATTCAGCCAACAACTGGGGTGAGCTTGGAAGCAGATTCTTCTCCAGTTGAGCCTCCAGATGAGAATGCAGCCCTGCTGACACCTTGATTGCAGCCTGGCGAGAACCTGAAGCAGAGAACTCAGCTAAGCAGAGCCCAGACTCTTGATCCACTGAAACTGAGAGATAATCAATGTCTGTTGTTTTAAGCTGCTAAATTTGTGGTAACTTGTTACTCAGCAATAGAAAACGAATATAATTTGTTTTTTCATTGCTCTATCCCAAGTACTTAGGGGGAAGGGGGGAGGGAGGAGGGTGAAAGGGATAATTGGGTACATGTGTGTGGTGATGGGTTGTAATTAGTATTTTGGTGGTGAACATGATGTAATCTATGCAGAAATAGAAGTACAATGATGTACACCTGAAATTTTTACAATGTTATAAACCAATGTTACTGCAATAAACAAAAATAAACCAAGTACTTAGAACAGCATCCAGCATTTACTAGGTGCCCAGTAAGTATTTGTTGAGTGAATATATTGTTATGGAAAAGAAAAACAGAACAAAGTGGACAACAGTGTTACAATATGCTGCCAGTCCTGCGTGTGTGTGTCTGTGTGTGTATCTGCATAAACATAGACTATCTCTGGAAGGGTACACAAGAAACTGACAGAAGTCTGGGGAGGGAAGCTGAAGGTTTAGAAATCTATGAAGGAGGGAGACATTCATCTCATGCCCTTTTGAACTGTTTGAAATTTTTTTTTTACTCTATAAATGTATTACTTAAACACATACACACACATAGCATACACACAACCAAACAAAACAGCCCCCATGGGTTCAAATTTTAATAGGTTTCCAAAGTAAGATCACTTCTTACTCCTTTATTCAGGGCTCTGCCTTCCCATCCAAGCAACCCTGGTCTATTGTTCATTTCCACCTCATCCCTTCCACGATGTTTCATGGCAAGCATCTTGCTACAGACAGAATTAAGTACGTGTTGAACTTGCACATTGTGCTTTGACAGCCTCACAAAGAAGCAGAAAGGCAAATTTTGTTTGCAGACATGTGTAAGCCAAGCCACAAGGGGCTTTTCTAAAATAAAATGCAAGACCAAGGATGCTAAGCTTTTCCTTTATTGCTATTGTGTATCCAGCCTAAAAGGCATTTCATTCAAGAAAAATTTGAATAGTTTAAGTTACAGAGTTACCCTGGAGTTTTAGGACAGTCCAATAGGCTTTGAAAGTGTGCTCAAAATAAAGAGGGGACAATTTCCGTATTTGTTTGGCAGAGGTGAAAAAAGCCAACTGAAAATTTACAGGCTGAGTACAAATGGACAGAACCCATTACATAGCAAGGAAAACTGAGAGAGTAAAGCATAGAGCTCTGGGAGGCCGCACACCATGTGCCACAGATAGAAGCTGCCAAGGTAACCACTTACAAAAAACCCCTGTGACATCATGCTCATGGAACAGTTTCAGGCTGGTAGCCCCTGATCTGTTCTGAAACTAGCCTCTGTAACAAATTTAAGATATACTGAAAGTCATTTCTCCAGGGCTCTAAAGAATGTTTGAGACACAGCTATTCACTTTCAGTAATTAGTGAGGAACTTTGAACAAGGTTCAAAGTTCTAAAACTGGACCTGAAAACACACAACCACAAGGAATGTTCAATGATTAATCAACATCTGTGAATTGACAGCTAAAAGAACAGTGAGTTATAAGATATCTAGCTTCTTAAAGCTATCTTCTTAAATTGTAATTCGTTTTGTGTGAGTGTGTGTATGTGTGAAACATTTCAGTTTCTCATAGGTGACACTAAAGCTACATCAGCTTAATCAATCTATTTAAGCCATGCATCTTGCCAATGTGGCTACAAGGTCATGACTTTGAATCCTACAAAGATCAAAAGCTGTGCTCAGCCTCTTGACCAAAATAACATCTTTCCCAAGAAACATTTAGGTTCTTAACTAATTGGTGTCTTGGCCATTCATTCATACATACATTTCTTCATTCATTCCACCAACATTTAACACTGGGGTACAAAGAGGCATAAGTCAGGGGGCTTGCTCACAGTCCAATGGTCCATGGGAGTGTGGATGTGTTTTCTAGTCAATACATGTCATCGTAGCCAATCCTTTTTCAATTGGCTGGAATGGAAGCACCTGGAGGACAGGCATAAGGGATGCAGAACCCAAGAGGGGCACCTGGGAGCTCCTGGGGCAGTGTCCTGGTGATGTGTCCTTGCACTCCCAAGTGGTGAGAAGGAGGAAAGGAGAATGATCAGGAAGAATCTAACTCAACATATTTCAAACAACACTCAAAAAATTGCACATCCTCCCATCCCTATTTCTAACAGTCTGTGGACATGTGTAATAACCACTTCTGTTCTAAAACTGTTCAAATCCATTTCACACTGTGATCAGGCAGTTGAGAAAATTAGACTCCAGTGGAATGTTATGTTCATCTATAATATTATATGAGCTATAGCTCATTTTCCCAAATCACTATGAATTAAATATCTTACTACCAAATATGCGAGAACCCAAAATAATGTTCTCTTAACTTTATTTCTTTTATAGCCATTTCAACTCATGAAATATGAAAGAAGCAAGAGGAAATGGAAAGTGAAGAAGAAAGTTACTTGAAACGCCCCTGTGGAGTAGGACAGGCTTTCACGTAATACCACATAATGGCTTCCAGGGATGGAGAGGGAGGATAAAGAATTCGCTTATTAAATGTCACACACACATTTGGAAACACTTCAACTTTAAGCATACATTAAAATTAAGTACGTTTTTTGTGTTTCTCAGACTGACAAAGATTAAAGGGTGCGATAATACCCAGTGCTGGTGAGGGTCTGGGGGAAGCAAGTCTTGTTCACTGTGTGTGGAGCTGTGAAGTGGGGCAGAAGCTTTGGAGGATTATCTTGGTCCTAGTTATCAAATTAAAAATGTGTGGGGTCTCTGACCCGGCGTGTTACTCTGCTCAGACTGCCGTAACAGAATACCACAGACTGGGTGGCTTAAACAACAGACGTTTATTTTCCCACAGTGCTGGAGGCCGGAAGTCCAGGATGAAGGGGCCATCAGGGTTGGTTTCTGGTAAGAACTCTCTTCCTGGCTTGTAAATGGCATCTTTTCCCTATGTCCTTACATGTGCACACACAGAAAGATAGAGATGTCTGGTGTCTCTTCCACTTCTTATGAGGACGCTAATCTTATTGATTTAGGGCCCCACCCTTATGACTTCCTTTAACCTTAATTACCTCTCTAAAAGTCTTATCTCCAAATACAGTCACATTGGGAATAAGGGCTTCAACATATGAATTGGGGAGGGTGTCAGAATAGTCCATAATAGCCAGCACATCCAGTTTCAGAAATGTATCCTACATATGTGTTTGCATATGTGCAGAAAGATCTTTAAATAAGAATGTTTAAAGTTGCATTGTCTGCAGTAGCTAGAACTGTAAACAACCTAGCATCCATCAAGAGGGGGCTAGTTAAACAAATTAAGGTACATTCAGTGATAAAATACTATTATGCAACTGTTCAAATGAGTGAGCCAGCACTAAACATGTTGACATGGAAAACTCACTAAAATATATCATTAAGTGGAAAAAGTAAGGTGCAGAGCAGTGGGTAGAATATGATCCAATTTCTGTAAAAAAAAAAAACAAAAAAAAGGCTTAAACACCAATATTTTCTGGAAGGATTTACAAGAAACCATTGGCAATGACCTCCGAGGAGTGGACGTGGAGCCGAGGAGGAAGAATTGGTTCCTTATACCCTTCTGTACTGTTTGCACTTTGCTAGTGGTGGTACACCACTTTTTGTTTAATTGAGGTAAAATTCACATAGAAAAACACTCACCATTTTAACCATCGAAAAGCGCACAATTCAGCAGCACTTGGTGTATTCACTATGTTACACAACCATCACCTCTGTCTGGTTCCAAACATTTTCATCACCCTAAATGGAAAATCACTCCCCATTCTCCCATCCCCCAGCCCCTGACAATCACTAATCTGCCTACTTTGGGCATTCCATATAAATGGAGTCATTTAATACATGGCCTTTGTGTCTGGCTTCTTTCACTTAGAAT